TGTTACCATCTGTGAACTAGTACAAAGTATTATAATAGTAACGTTGCTTCTCATAAATGTAAGCATCATTTTGTGTTTCTTTTGTTCACAAAATCCATCAATTATCTGGGCTAATTTTATTTTTTTATTCATTTCATATTCAAAAGATAATATTCCTAAATTACAAAGACTCCTTTGTTCCAAAACCTTCCTCATCTGTGTTATTTTAAAAGTGTGCTCAAATCCGCAGCTCATCAAGTGGTGTTGTTCCTATTGCTAGACAGATGGAGTTGATAATGGCTGGTCACAGTTGCAAGTAAAGGTTTCTCCTCTCTGGCACTGCACACGCAGTCTTGCATTTTCATCCACTTAACCCATGTTTCCCGTCTATACTTTCTCATGATTCCCTCTGGTGTCCACTTAAGTGGCCCATGTGTTCTCTGGAAGCAGAAGCAGTGTGCTCTGCCGACAGTTATGTCTGGTTGCTTTCACACAGAAGTTTTCCTTCGTGCCCCACCAAACTACAGTGATTCTTCTGGGAGCTTCCATGTGACTTCATCATCCAGTTGTCATCCTTCTATGTTTTCCCCAGTTCTGTTCTACAGGTTCCCAAACCTGTTTGGTATGATCTTTTAGAAAAGATCATACCCGAAGTGGGTTTTGGAGAAGTGTAGTGGGGAAAGTGCAGATCAGGTATGGTCTTAGTGATTCTGCAGGCCCAGGCAAAAGTCAAGGAGGGCCCCCAAAATCATTGGGAACAAGGAGCAGGGCAGGCTCCTGCCACACAGCTGATTGCTCCTCCCAGCCATTGCCTTAGTGAAGCCACTGTCCCATGGTGCCAGATCCTCTGAAGTCACAGTGGTGATTTCAGGGCAGTAGCTGTCAATCAGCTGTAGGGGGCCTACCACCCTACAGAATCAGCTGGGGATGCGGAGCCATGGTAGCCTTAACGTGATCAGGGCAGCGGCTGGGACCATTGGCTGCAGGTAAGTTGGGGTCCTCCAGCACAGACTCTGGGGCAACTGCCCTGGATGCCCTGTGGATAAGACTGACCCGGTGCAGATTTCCTCACCTCCTTACCTATGGTGTTAAAACACTGTAGCAATAGTAATACACCTACTGCTAATTTAAAAAAACTAACAGAAAGCTCACCAGAGGTGAGGGACTGTGAATGCCTTTGCATTTGCAGCAGCAATGACACCAAAACAGGGAATCACCTCTGTGCAGAAGCAACTTGGTAGTCAGAAAGATGACTACATTCCTCTAAGCAGTGCAGCGAGCAGTTCCTTTCAGCTACTTGCAACCCTCTCTTAGTTTTCTTGGGTCAGACCTCAAATACTTTGTGGCACTCAGAACCTTCAGAAGCCACCAGAAGTATTTAGGATTTATCTTAAAGGAGCCCAAACTTTCAGAGTAACTAGAACATCTCTGGCATTATATTGCATCCAGATGGCATTTTTGAAGGAGTGCGAATGTGAATCCTTTACCAATGTGGACCTGGTCATGTATGCAATTCATATCAAGGAATGAAAATGAAATGCATTTTTTGCCAAGTAAACTCTGGACAATGTTCCTTCAACTAATGCAGCTGCTGGACCTTAATGTCCCTCTCTCCTACCTCATAACTGTGAGGGCAACTCAGATGGTACCTCCTTAGAGCAGCCCTTGGTAACCCCACATGCCTGACACCATTTTGGAGGTGCTTAATAAGAGTCATAAGAGAAGCAACCCAGTAGGTGGTATGACTGGCCTGGGCCATTAATGCCGAATAACCAGAGGTAATAGCACAAAACAGTTCTGCATTTTTTAACAACTTGATGGGCTGGTTTCTGATGCTCAACTCAAATATTTTACCAAGAGCACAGTAAGTCACCATCTCTGCCCTAGGAAAGCTATTATGGATGAGAAAAGTGTGGTGGTGGGGGTGGTGGTTAAGGAACGGTGTAATGAGCTGTGGCCAGTTAATTTTAAGGGAAGTCCAACTTCACAGTGACAGAATAACAAAAAGCGGTTTCTAACTTACACATGGACCTCTGTCCTTAAGGTTCTGTCTCCCTAATATGAGAGAAGGCATTGGTATCTTTTGGGATCACAGCTACAGATATTGCTGCCCCAGAGCGTGTCGTTGGCCTTATAAGTTTGACAGGTGCCCAATTAGAAGAGTCCCTCCCTTAGGAGCTCTTTTAGTCTTAGCTTTCTAAAAATTAATTTTTGTAAAGAGGAAGTTTCTTGTGATTTGTGCACTTCTGTTGTGTTCAACTCCATGACTAGGCAGGGGATGACCCACAACAACTAGCAAATAGCTGCACGGGAGGTGAAATAGTTGCATGATGGTTACTGAAATATCACTTTCAGGAAATACAGATTTGAATAGCACAAACAGTGGCTAAAACTGTGCGGGAATATGCTTTAATGACTGTACAGGAAACATTCCTCTATAGCGAACACTCTTCCATATCATTTTACTGGGGAAAAAATCACAGCAAGAATTGTGAAAACCGAAATTAATCCTTGCAGATGTTATTCCATAATGGCATGTTTTGAAAAATGCAGGCATCCATCTGCAACTGAGTGCCTACCATGAAAGTCATCATTTCCTTTCCTGCAAAACTGTGCACTCGCTCCCCCTCCCGCCTTCCTGGGTCACCATCTTTATAGCTAGAGCCATTTCTTCAGTTTGAGTTCATTTGTCATCAGCATCATATCTAAAAACAAATTGTGGATGCTTCACATTGTTAGTTAGTGTCTTACAAGACAATGCTAAGAACACTTTTTAGGACCGAATCTGTGATCTGTGAATGCTCATTTGAGACAGAAATAGAAAGACAGCAATGTTTAACATGAATGTAGATTGTAGCCCGCTAGGGTTTGTATACAGTTTAGATGTAGGAAAGCAAAGAAGAAGAAAAACTTATAAACATGACTTGTGAAATAGCCTATGTCAACTTCCAGGGAACATGGGTGTGTCTATGAGTGTGAATCCTACACAAGGTACTTGTCAGGAAGGGGTCGTGGCTCAGTGGTTGAGCAGCTGCTTTGCTTTCAAAATGTCCCAGGTTCAATCCTTGGCGTCTCCAGTTAATCCCATGTGAAATCCCTCAGCCTGAGACTCTGGAGAGCCACAGTCAGTCAGAGAAGACAATACTGACCTTGATAGGCCAATGGTCTCAGTGTAAGGCAACTTTGTGTGCTCACACATTTTTGCATTAAAAAAAACCATGGGAACACTCCAATGTCATAATGCTGCATAGGCTTTGGTTATACGACTTGGTCTCCCCAGATTCTTGTGGTTCAGACTCCTGCAACTGAAAAGTATTTGTGCTGTGCCATTCTAGAAGTGGGAAGCAACATGCACTAAGTAAAGGTAAAGGTAAAGGTTCCCTTGCTCGAAAGCCAGTCAAGTCTGACTCTAGGGTTGCGGTGCTCATCTCTGTTTCAAAGCCGAAGAGCCAGCGCTGCCCGAAGACATTTCTGTGGTCATGTGGCCGGCATGACTAAACACCAAGGCGCATGGAACGCTGTTACCTTCCCACCAAAGTGGTACCTATTTATCTACTTGCAATTTCTTGCTTTCGAACTGCTAGGTTGGTAGGAGCTGGAACTAGAGACGGGAGCTCACTCCATCATGCGGCAACTCGGGTCTCGAACTGCGGAACTACTGACCTTCCACAGCCTGCAGTTCAGCGTCTTAACCACTTGAGCCACCGCAGCTCCGCACTAAGTACTGCTGTGTTTTTAATGCTTAGTCTTTCATGGTGAACCCACACATTTCACCATTTAGTGTTTAAGGCAAGGTAATGTGAGGGAACGGTTGAAGAGATTTACAATTATTTGTTCACATTTTCTTTTAGTCATTAACTATAAAAAGTTTATAAAGTTCTAACAGAAACTGCAGACTCAGGCGATACATCAAGATGGAAAAGAACAAGAATCCAGTAGCACCTCAAAGACTCACAAAATTTGTGGCAGGGTTATGAGCTTTTGTGTCACTGCTCACTTCTTCAAGTATCTGTCTGAAGATACCTGTGACAGATTTTGTTAGTTTGTAAGGTGCTACTGGACTCTTGCTTTTTTCTACTGCTGCAAATTTAGGACAACATTAGACTGGAGGGAAAGGGGCCATGCCTTTTAAAACAGTGATTCTAATCCATAAATTCTGCAGCACAGTTAGTATAGAAGATGCTGTGGTGTCTCTCCCCCCTCCCCTGTATACTGACAAGAGGAAGGTAGTTCATACCTGTGTTTGCCTGAAAGCAACTTATCCAAGGCTACACGGTGGCTAGACTGAAAATAGAACTGTGCCTTGTTAAAGCAGTAGGCCAGGATGGCTCTGTACCAGAGAAAAGAGGGAAGGCTTCTTTGGACTCAATCTGCCTGTGAAAGTCAATTTAAACCAAGGCTTAGTCCCAGACTTGGTTTTCATTGACTGTATTTAATCTTGGAATCATTATGAAGAGAGTGTTTTTGAGCACATGAAGAGTGGCTTCCTTCCCACTATTGCATTAGGAACCACAGACCCTTCACACACACACACATCCAGGAGGGAAGCTTCCAGGTTGGCAGTTGCACAGACAGGCAGGCAGGCAGGCTCTTGCACCAAGAACTCTCCTTTTAGAAGGCTAGCAAAGAAGCTATCCATGTGAGGAAGGATTTTCTAGTGGGGGGAAATGCTTGAGGTGGATGAATGGGGGCGAGAGCCGTTTCCCCTGTGACTCTGCAGAATCCATGAGCCCAAGCCAGTGGGCACAAGTGGAACTAGCTGGGAACCTGGACCCTCGTCATTGCCACGCACTTGGTCACCCTGTCAGGAATCCGGTTACCATGGGTTACCCTATCAGCCAGGGGACGGGGTGCCTCCCCTTCCCAAGTGCTCTATAAAAAGGATCCGTCAAAGAAAACAAAAAGCCCCAAACAAAGCTCCTGTCGCCGCCGCGCTGCCGCCGCCGCCTCTGAAAGCAGGCAGGGAAGGGAAACTTCAGCACCACCACCACCACCCAGAGAAGGACCAGCGGGAGAGCAGCATGTCTTTCCGGCTCCCGTGTCACCTCGTCCTGATCTTCTTGGCCGCCCTCGAGGGAGAAAGCAGGTACCTCGAGGTGAGCCAAGCAGGCGCCCCCCCCCCACCCCCCGCGCTTCAGGTGGTCTAGGGCAAGCCTTCCCCTCAGCCTGCTGCCCCCACCTTTTGGGATAGCAGCGGAGCCCTTGGGGTTTGGCCGAGGGGTCGGTCCCGGAGGGAGCCCGTTCCGCCTGGGCTCAACTTTCCCCTTTGCCTTGGCTTCCCCAGGTGAGGGACGCGGGCGAGAACGAGCCCTTCCTGCTCCTCGACGCCGAGCTGAAGAGGGAACTCTCCGACGGGCAGATTTACCGCCGGGCGCTGCGTGAGTTTCTCCCAGAGGCTTTCCGAAGGGGAGTGTCGTCGGGCGGGCAACGCTGCGGGGAAAGCGAAGCTCGGATCCGGTGCTCAGTCCGGGGAGGGAGACGGTCTTCGGGGATTGGTAGCAGCGGGTGCTTTGGGAAGCCGGGCTCCTCGGGGGAAATTCGTCACTTGGGGTTTGGAGAGTGAACTTCGGTAAAAAGCAGGTTCTCTTTGACCGGGTCAAAGGTTCCTCTAGTCCAGCAGCCTCTTTCCAAACCAACCCAGAAGCCGGCGTAAAGGCAGTAAGCCATCAGCTATTGGCATGTACAGGCACACTGCCGCTGAACAAAGAAGTTCCATTTCAAATAGCCACTGAGAGACCTAGCCGCTGTATCCAGTCCCCTTTTAAAGTCATTTTTAGGCAGGAGTCATAACCCTCCACCAATTTAACTGTGCAGTCTGCCAAGAACTGCTTGTGTGTCCTGAACCTGCCAGTTAATTTGACTACGTGACCCCGAATTCTCTTAGGATGCGGTGGGGGCTTTAGCATATTTGGAATAAAAATGGAAATAAAGTGCCTCTGAACATGTGCAGAGTGCCTTTCGGGGGTGATAAGATGCAACGAGGCTGCTGTAGATTGGCATTCACAGCTAGGCATGTAGAGGTAGAAAAGCTGCATTTGAAGAACTTCCCTCCACTCTCCAGCTATGAATGGTCTAGCAGCGGGTTAAACAAAAACAAAAACTTGTAACCCTCTGGACTTCTGTCACCAGTGGACAAAAACAGTCAATATGGTAGTTTACCATTTTACATAACAAATATTGTAAAATAAGCTTTGAATAAATAGTTTCTCAGACATATTCTGAGGTTGAAATCCCTTCCCACCCCCTTCCAGCAGAACTATGGGCAGGTTCAGAAATTTGCTTTCAAGTGGAATGAAGAAAGGTTTTTTTTGGGGGGGGGTCAGGGTTGTAAAACTGGATAATGGGATGCTGAGGTGGTCCTGGAGTGCTGGTGGCTGGGTGAGGAGATCAGGAAGCAGGGAAGAATGTCCAAGCTGTGGATAAGAGATGGGAGAGGGGCTGGTGAAGAAAGTGGTATAAGTTTCCTCGAACGGCAAGGGGCTCACCAGGATATGAGTCAAAGGGATGAATTGAGGATGTTGCTTAAATTCTGAAATGAGATGCTTGAGGCTTATGCCAGAGTGAATGTTTGGTCTTCTGCTCTGGAATTCTACTGCTAATCTCATTCCTGTCTCTGCTGAGGTTTGTCCCTTTGTACTAAGGGTAAATCACTCTGCATATGCTCCAGTGCCTGGTCTTTGTTGTTATTTTATATCTGCTAGGGCAGAGACCTGGCAAAATACCACAGCTTGCTCCTGGTAATTTCGGGTTTACATTAAGCCTTTATGGGGAGACTGTTAGGGAAGCAGCAGTACAGAACATTCTTCTAAGTGAAGATTGCTGTGACTGTTTCTTGTGGCCCTTCAGATATCAAAGATCTTGGGGGGGGGGGACCAGAGACCAATGTTTGAAGCTGGAGGGGGAAAAGGCATGCAGTTTTCTGAGAATGTTTTTGGAGATAACTGCAAATTCTTTGTTAATGGTCTGGGATGGAACAGAAATCACATGTGAGGTTTTCTCTGCTTCTTCTAATTCCTTCAAGGATTTTTCAGCTCAGCTCAGCTAAGCACAATAATAGTGCATGCCTAAGAATACTTTCCCCGGAGTAAGCCCTATTGAGTAAACTTCAATAGAATTCTGAGTAGACCTACTTAGAATTGCAGTGCTCATAACTCAGTTGTCTTGTATAGAATGATTACTGGGTTGATCCCAGAGAACAAAAGAAGCAGCTGATAGCTGATGCTTTTATTGGACGACTGGGATGAAAGTAAAAGCATGCTTTCAAGCTACACAACAGCACTCTTCAAGTGTGAAAAAAGTAACTGACTTCCTTAAGGAAGCAGTCCCTACCGCAAGTCTTTCAAGTGCCTAAAGACAATTATAAGACACTGCTTGAAGTCTTGTGCCTATTTCATGAATAAAATCTCTTTTAGATAAAAAAATAAAAAAAATAAAATCTCTTTTAGTTTCATAGCTGCTATGCACAGTGTGATGATACTAAGGAGCAAGTGACATTTCCTAAAATCTATTCCCCCTCCACCAAGTAGAGTAATTGTTCCTGACTACACTTTCAAAATCAGGGAAGTGGGGATTTGGATAAGGGGCCATGATGCTGAGGAGGGGCACCCTGTCCCTGCTATTTGCCCTGAAAGGAAGTTTCTTTTTGCTCCCACCAGTGCCCACAGCCCCAGTTGGAATGGCCTTCCCCCCATGGTTGCTTTTAACCTTTTGAAAAATGGCAGGAGATCCCAGTGGCTGATAAAATCCTAGGTCATATCTGATCTGGCCTTGAGAGTGGGAATGGTGAAGCCACCATTTAAAACTCAGCTCAGTTTACTAAGTAGCCTTGAGCTACCTTGCAGCCTTAGCCCCCACCTGCAACAGGGAGATCATTGGGCAGAACAAGTCTACAGGGTGAGGGTGGCCGTTGTCAGCATTACTGAGATGGTTTTGTGAAGGCAGTTTGATGCAGTGTTTAGAGTGTTGGACTAGGATGGGGGAGACCCAGGTCTGAATCCCCACTCTGCATTGAAAGCATGCGGAGTGACCTTGGGCCAGTCACACTCTCTCTCAACCAATACTCCCTCTAAGCTGTGGAGTCTTGTGAGCAAAAATTCTACTTTGTGAGCTACCGGCATTAAAGTTGTGAGTGAGCAATTTGGGTACTGCATAAATTAGTTTTCTCTGGAGCCATCCTTCCTGAGCTAAGACAAAAATGTGCAAGCTGGAGGTTAAAAAACTGTGAGCTACCTCACACTAACTCAGCTTAGAGGGAACACTGCTCTCAGCCCAAACCTCCCTCAGAAGGCTGTTGTGAGGATAGAAAGGAGACAGGAGAATAAAGTTGCAAGTCCCTTTCAGTTCCTGTTGGGGAAAAATAAATTTAAAAACAGATTTTGAACCAATCACTTTCTCACAGAGCCAAATTAAAGATTACAGTTTTTAAAGAGTTGGGGTCTGGATTTTCCAGGCCCAGCTTGTGTTCCCAGCAGCCACACAGCATGGCTTCTTCAAAAAGAAGAGGAGAGCCCAAACAGGCATAGAACGGCACTGCAGGAGAAGGAAGGGCTCCTGCCCCCACCTCCAGCCATTTTCCCACGGATCTTGAGTCAAACACACTGTCTCAGTCTAACCTACCTCATAAGGGTGCTGTGAGAGTGAAATGAAGGAGGGGAGACTGATACACTTCACCCTGAGCTTCTCAGAGAAATAGCAGAATGAAAATATACTGAAATAAAAATAAAGTGCTTTGAACATTCAGAATTATTATATTAGGAATAAACTACCTTTTACAAGTGTTGGTTGAGAATAGGGAAGCGATGAGCAATAAAGGAATGCTTAATCCATTGTTTGTTCCAAATGGCCCCATCCACTGGCATTTTATTTTTGCATTTGAATCATCACAGGAGGAAAATTGATGAAGAATTGGACCATATGACATTTTATCAGCGACGTACAGTTTGTGTCTAGCAGAGCTTTAAACTATAAGCTATTTTGAGGCTAATTCTTATTTTACATTTTATATGCAGGCACAAACACCCAAGGACAAAATGCACCTGTCCCTTATTAAGTGTATGTAAAACAGTGACTATCCCTTTACAATACTCAGAACAGAGACCCAGTTCTTCCCTAGTCACTGCATCTTGGCATTATAAAGCAACAACCATTGCAAACTTTTAACTTCAACCTGCTGCACCAGAACTCTTAACCTTTTCTGTTATGTATGTCCTTCTTCCTGCCTCCCTGCCCTTCTCTTCTCCCCCTTGTTTACTCATTATCTTCCTCTATAACTGCCAATTTTTTTGCTTTATCCTCACTTTATTTAAAAAAAATTAAAATTAAAAAGAAAATTGTGGTTACACCTCTGCCTGAGGTTAGGGACCCCATCATGGGAGACTAGTTATGGGTCCCAGATAATTGTCTGAAGACCAACAGTTTAAGTAAATATCTGCCTAATTTTACATGTGTACCTCCCACACCTGACGTAATATGCATTGCCCTCTAATATCCATGCCTGAGTAGAAAATGCACAGTCAGAATCTGTCCGAAGAGGAAGTGAACACTGTATATTGTCTCTCTTCTCCTCCACAGGATGCCTTGACATGCTGAGTATAGAAGGACAATTCACTTTCACTGCAGAACAGCCCCAACTACACTGTGCTACTTTCTTCATAGGAGAGCCCGAAGAGTTACTCACCATAGACTTTGACTTTGTCAACATTGACTGTCAAGCAGGAGATTTTCTGAAGGTATGAAGTTTGCAATGACAGATGGTCCATACAGTGCACTTGGGAAAGTGGGTTCACATGCAGCATGACAGAAGAGAAAAATATGCAGAAATGAAAGCACATTAATTCTTTCAGAGGATTTGGCATTGTGAGCTGGCTATGTGGATAAACCAGGAAGTGTCATGAGAATGGTTTGATGGTTCAAGCCATTTTTTGAAGTATTCCAAGCTGTGAATTGCTTTGAACATTGAAAATAGAAGCACTCATAAGATTGACTCACAATGCCGAAACCTCCCTCCCTAGCTATGCTCATGGTAGTTTTCAGTGCAATCTTAAACAGAGTATGCACTTCTACATTTACTTATTTAAATGGACGTAGAAAGCTGTAACACTGCTTAGGATGGCACTGTTTCACACTTAACACCTATATAAAAAGCATACATGAGAACTGGCACATAGCAAATGACATTCAGTGGTGAAAGCGATTCAGAATTATTCAAGTATCAGAATTATGACAAGTTCTGTGGATGCCCTTGTTTGTATGACTCAGGGTGATTCTGCACTAGACCTTAAATCCTGGTTTAACCCTGTCCCCAGACTTACATTCTACACTACACTCGAGTTCACCCCTGTAATTATCTTGGGGTATTTTTTGTTTCCACATTACACTGAGGTCACCCCGGTTTTGCCCTTCACCTGTCCCAGGATAAACGGATGCTGTTATAACCAGGGATAAATGCAAGGTATTGTGTTGCAAGTTGAACTCTGATAAAACCAGGGATGAGATCCAAGTCCGTAAAGGACCTCAGTGTAGCTTCTCACAAATTGCTCTGTGAACTTTACGGGCTAAGCTTGATCAGAGAGTCCTCATTTGTTCAGAGAGGGCAGCAAAGTATGCTGATGAATACAAGATTCTCCGAATCAGGGCTATGGATATTAGGACAGTGCAAGGTTTGGGGGACAGGAGAAAGGACCAGCATCTGTTGCTTTGTGTCTAGCACAAACTTCACGTGGAGTCCAACAGGGATGCAACAGTTGGAAAAGAGCCTGCTTTAGTGACAGTACCAGTACTGTTACTAATTAGACACTGCTTATTGATTGCCCTGCTTTTTCCAAGTGTTAAATGCTAGGCGTCAGAAATTCGTCCCATCTAATTAGGCACAATTATTAAAACATTTGAAGTGGGAAAGTACAGTGAATGTCAAAGTGATTAACTGTTGCTGAATGAAGTGGCAACTTGCTTTTGATCTTGGTGCCAAGTCATGTGTGGAACAGATTGGTCAAAATCTTGGATTAGCAAAAGGGAGGAAGGAAAAGATAGCACTACCACCACTGCTCTAATAATAATAGTAGGTTGTTTTGTAACAAAGAGAATTTACCACCCTATTCCACCATTAACCAGTATTACATACCCACTGTAAAAATATAAGCGAAGGCTTATATTGGTACAGTTTGGGGTCTATATTCATGGAAAGATCAATTATATTTAAAGCCTGATGAGAACAATCATGACAACCATACAGACCTGCCATAATTGGTCTGAAATAGAAACAGAAACGGCTCAGGCCAATTTGATGCTGGCCCAAGGTGCAAAATCCAAATGAATCACCTCCCTACAGGCAACAAAAATGTAATTGTCCATTAAGTAACTGGCCATTTGAAGCTGTTTAGTGGTGTCCAGAAGGTGCAGTATGAGACAGTCTGTTTCACTCTGCCTAATGGTAGAGCCAACTCTGAACAGAGGCACACATGTGTATATGTGTGCATGCACACAAATATAGTGGAGTCTTTTGCCATTAACTTAGGTCATATTCACAAACAAGGCGCAGAGCGATTGTTTTAAATTGGGTAATAATAAGGATGTAAAATATTTATTGGCTGGACTGTTCATTCTTTTTTTGTGACTGACTTATTTATTGTAAGCATTTTTATCCTTTGTTCTTAACCTAACCTAGGTGGCTTAGAATTATGTTTAAAAATACAGTATATAAAATATATTAAAATATCAAGAACAAATCTGAAAAACTTAGAAACCTGAATAAAAGCTCATAACAGTGTCCAAAAATCTTTAAGAGCAGCAAACAAACTTGAAATCTTCAGTCTCAGCATCAATATATCTAATGCTCAGGGTGGCCCCATCTGTCAATACTTAAATCTGGAGATTGGGGCCATGGACAAACAAGACATATATTTCTACAAACCTGAGAGAAGCCTTAAGTTTGCAGAAAAATCTGACATTTCAAAAAAACCTAAATGATAAAAGGAATTCCTGTAGCTTTAAGAAACAAACAATGCTCCCTCTAAGCTGTGGAGTCTTATGAGCAAAAATTCTATTTTGTGAGCTACTGGCATTAAAGTTGTGAGCAAACAATTTGGCTACTGCATAAATTAGTTTGTGCTGGAGCCATCCTTTCTAAGCTAAGACAAAAATGTGTGAGCCAGAGGCTAAAAAACTGTAAGCTAGCTCACACTAACTCAGCTTAGACGGAACACTGCTCTCTGTGGTCATAACAAGGCAACCTCAACAGTATTGCCAGTTGAAGCCTTGGTTTCTGTCAGTAAAAGGCAGAGGAGGGGGCAGGACCCTTTCCAGGGCTGTTGTGGTCTTTGAGGGAGGATTTATCAGGGCCAGGCTCACCAGCAGCCACCGGGCAACTTGATACGGTGCAACTTGTATGATTCACCCAGGATTGGCTACTTGCTACTGTTCAAAAGAAAGTAATCTTCAAAGGCAGCCCCAATTTTCCACTTTAAGAGCATTCATACCAGCCATTAAAAAGCTTAAATCTGAGAAGCTCTTCATAATGGCATATATCAAAACACTCTGATATTTTTGCCAATGTATGTTTCTTATAGAAGGGGAGCTTCTACAAGAGTTGTCAAATGCTTCTGGCAAATGCTACCCATTTTGTACAAGTTTGTCGCTATGCTCCTGGAAGGCTTTCCTGCATGGTGACAGGACTGCTCCCCTTCTTCCCACATCCAAAGAGTATCTGCTTAGGTTTTAAGCTCTTCGGAAAGGGGTACTTTTTTACATTAATCACTATAACACAGAACAGCGTCAGGAGAAAAGGAGAACTGAGTGCTTCTGGTTGTGAAAAATTGTTTGCTAGTGTAAAATGTAAAATAGTTCCTTTCAAATAACTGGAATATTTTATCAGTAAAAGAGCAATGTTTTCCAATGTTGTAGTACAGGCAGGAGTGCCCCCCACGTTCTCTTTGCACCTCAGTTTGTGTGTATCAAAGGCAGCATAAATTTGTTCATTTTATTTTGTTAGTGTACTTGTGTCTTTGAGCAAATATTTTTTAAAAGAAATTATTAACATACTTGAGCAAAATATGAAAAAAGGGATGCTGGTTGGTTGGCTGGTTGCTTCTAAGAAAGAGTGGCAAAACTCCGATAATTAGGAAAGGACCAGTGCAGAAGGACTTCATAATGGCAGTGGAGTTAGGAAATGCAAAGCAAGCAATCGAGTAGCACTGACCATCCCACCAACTGCTTCAGGCATCACTTCTAGCAGGTGCATCAAGCAGCACCTTGCCCGTCTGGAACTGCAGTCTGAGTCTGCAAGGTTGGAACTACACATTACTTGTAGTTCCGTGATTATTTTTTGAGACTGGGAATTGCTATCCCCAAGCTGCTTTTGTTGCCACTGGGGAAAGGGTATGAGTTCCCACCTCCCACCCCTGCAGCAGTGATAAAAGAAGTCTGGGGGAAATGATATTTTGCATGGAAAGCGGCAAGGGGAAAAAATAAATATCTCTTCTACCTTTGCACTAGTATGCTCCTTTAAACTGCAGCACCCACAGATGCAATCTGTAAAGTATAAAAAGTCAGGGGAAAATAGTTACCAAACTCCATGCCATGTGCAATTCTGCCGTCTCAGACAAGTCAGCAGCACTCTTCACACTGAAAGTATCCAGACTGTGCTTTAAGTGACATGTTCAGCACAGGTGCCACACGGGTGTGTCTTTGTGCTTCTGGGAATTGCAGGCAGAAGGTAAACAGGTAATTGCTATCTCTGCATATCCCATTAGGTATTTGATGGCTGGATACTCAAAGGTGAGAAGTTTCCTAGTTCTTTGGATCATCCTCTCCCCACATCAGAAAGATATACTGATTTTTGCGAAGGTGACCATGTAAGAAGAACCATCAGGTCTTCACAGAATGTCGCCATGATCTTCTTCAGAATTCATGTCCCCGGAAATGGATTCACATTAACAATAAAGAAAAAAAACAATCTTTTCCGTAAGTTTTGTTTCATCCTGTGTGCAGCAAGAAACACAAAAGGGAAGATAAAATAGATATTTTTTTCTTTCACAAGAGGTCATGTTTAGTATGGGATTATGGGGGGGTGGGGGGAGCAGGTTCATACTGGGCCCAGAGAAATTATGCTTGGTGATAAGAAGAAATATACATTTACATGAGCAAAGCCATGATTTCTTGTTAGAAAACAAACATGTATCCAACAGAGGAATTCCACAAGCAGAAGGGGAGAATTTTCATTCATTTCCCCGTTCTGCTACAGACCTCCAGTTCCCTCCTCATGCTGTTTCTAGGGGTCCTCTATTACCTAGGAGCAGGATTTCAGGGCACATATTGGGCTGCCATGGAAAGGGGGAGGCAGGGAATTTCCACTCCACTGACAGAAATCCCTTTGTTACTGGAAATCCATACCACAAGGTAATACTGTACTGACTGTTGAGTTATAGCACAATGACAATGCAGTAAGATTATTCTGGCATCGCAGAAATTAAGGCAGCACATATTTTTAGTACGCTAGATATTTGTTTTTCCGAAACCATCTTGAATGATTCGATATATGCTGAAATATATGCACCAGTTGCCATGGCAATATAGTGAATTTAAACCAGATGTTGTGCTAGTCTACATTTAAGGGTTATCAAATGGTTTTCTGGCACACCTGTAAACATTTAATACCATGTGCTTTTTTTTTAAAAAAAAGTCCATTAAATTAAAACAAATATGTCAACTTTGGTTCAAAGGCTGTTTTGCATGTTTTATTTGGGTATATTTTGACAAACATGCCACTCCAAAAAAACAGAAGAAGAAGAAGAAGTCCTATATTGAAAACAAACAAACAAAAAACTAGGCAAGGTGTGGCAGATACAGTCTGGGGGCCAATAATATACCTAGGGAATACTTCCAGTTCCAGAAATACTTGAGTTACAGTTATGGACCTTCTTAGTTAAAGAGACAATTCTGGGCAGAACTGTGCTCCCCATATCTCTCAATTTATAAATGTAATCAGTAACTGACTTCAGATATCACTTCTTGTTTGTGATGAGCATGATTCTCCCCCCCCCCCCCCCCACACATACATGTTTCTCCCATCCTCCTCTTCTTAATTTAAATTTACTGGTTTCAGAAGCCTTGAATCAAACCCCACTCTACTGTAACATTCAAATGCAGCCACCTGAGCAAACTGAAGTTTGTTTCCTCCCCACAAACTGAGGTTCTAAACTAGGATTAAACTGTTTTGTCCAGATGCCTGCATCTGAATATGACAGTAAAGTGCAGTTTGACTCAAGGCTTTTGAAACTAGAAAATATGTTCTGGGAGGAAGGAAAGAATGAGGGCATGTGGGAGCATATAAACCCAATTTGGGCCGGTCACAAATAAAAGGTTTGCTTGTAACATACAAATACAATACTGCATTAATTTTATGTACAAACTGAGACTAAGTAATTTTGTGTCTTTCCTCTGTACTGAAGCTTGCAATGCCATCTCTCAGACCCCTGCTGGAAGGTTTACCATGGTCATTCCTCATCAGCACAGAAACTGCAGCTTTTCCATAATATACCCAGTGGTAATAAAAATATCTGATCTGATGCTGGGACATTTGAATGGCCTCCACGTAAAGGTGAGTGTGCATCAGTAGCAACCAGTTTTGCATGAATCATCACATTATATTTTGAAGCCTTTATTTATGTATTGCTACTGACCAGTTTCATAAAGACTTGCTTTTGATCTGCATGCTCTCATATGCATGGGACTGAAAGGAGGCTACACAGCTCTGTCTGCTGTACTTAGTGATAAATGATATTTTTCCCATGCTGTCAGATATTTGATTTATTGCTGATTGACTAAATGGTTCTTATTCATATTTTGTAATCTACTTTATGTTCCAGTGAAAAGGACATAATAACAACAATAACAATAATAACAATAATAATAATAGATTGCCTTTGTACACAACAGCTTAAGTACACATACATACATACATAAAAACACTAAATCATTGTCTCAACAGTGGCACACACACAAAATAGGAAATCTGTCAAGAAAAGAGTGGCAAGGGAAGAATCCCACAATCATTCCCTTTTTGGGCAGGGGGACAGACAACTCAGTATTCTACCAGTCCAAGCTCACAAAGGATCTTCTTCAGAGTCCATAGGGCCAAATAGGGCCATAGGCAATGAGCTCAGGGTTTTTCAAAGTCCTTGTAAAGGGCGGGGCAAGCTTTCAGCAGCTCTTTCCCAGCTAATATTATACTACTTACCAACTTGACCCTCTTATGCCATGGTAACTTGAGGGGAACCTCCACATTCAGAGGCACTAAGCCTCTGAATCCCAGAGCAAGGAGGCAACATCAGGGGAAGGCCTCAGCCTCTATGCCCAGTTGTTGGCTGTCCAGATGAACTGGTTGGCCACTGTGTGAGACAGGATGCTGGACTAGATGGACCACTGGTCTGATCCAGCAGGGCTCTTCTTATGTTCTTAGATACAGGCCAGATTTGGCATATTATAGCACAATTTGTTCTGTTCAGAGGTCATTTTGGGGGGAACGCGGGGAACACAGTTCCCCCGGGTGAGGTACAGGGGGCGGGGCACATGATGAAGCCCCGCCCCCTGCTTCCGGCCGCCCCGCTTCCGGCCCTCATTCAGTCAGGAGGAGGCAGGAGAAGAGGGAGGGTAAGTTGCTTCCTCCCCGCCTCTCCCCACCCCTGCCTGCTTGGGGCCAGGGAGGGCCTTCGCGGGGCTTCCTTGTACTCCCGCCGGCCTTGCAGGTCCACAGCCGGGCCCCTAATGGGGCTCGGCAGTGGAGCTGCAAGGCCAGAGGTGACGGCCGGGACCGTTGGGGGCGGGGTGTGTGGCCTTATGACACATTTCCGGTGATGTCAGGGGGTGTGGCCTTATGACACACTTCTGGTGATGTCAGGGCGTGTGGCATATGCTAATGAGTTATGCTAATGAGTTCCCCTAGCTCTTTTTCTATGAAATGACCCCTCGTTCTGTTAGTTGTGTAGGAGCGTTTGTGCATGTACATGGATAAATTTCAGGGATTGTACACCATACTCAAAAGATCATCCCTACTAAATTTAAGATAGATAGGGCAAAGATCCAGACTTTCTACAGGTAAAACACACAGTAGAAAAATGAGAGTTTGCTTTAATAATTGGTTAGAAACTGCCTATCAGTTCATACCTCTTGATCTCGGCTGACTCTAGCCAAATCTATGTATGCAACAAACAGATGGTAGAATACTAGGGGGATAGGGTGGACTGTACCACTTTAGACTGCAGGAGAGAGATGTCATTATTTTATGCTCCCTCCCATATAAAAATGCACTGTGTATGGGAAACTAGCACATCAAAGAGAGAACAGCTAGTCTAACCTTCTCCCCGTTGCAGGAAGTTGCTTACATATGGACTGTTTAGGAATGAGATCCTTCCCCCAGGTAGACTGTCCATTCTACTGCCTCAAACACTTCATACTGCTGAAAGTGTAGGCTCTTTCTCTCCTCATCCCTCTGACCAGAAATAAAATACTTAATTGATCAAACGGTTGCTTTCTATTTACTTTGATGACAAATTGAATTATCCTGTTTAATTTTTAAAAAAATCTCACAATAGTTTGTTTTAATTTCCTACAGAGCTGGAATATTTTCTCCCATCTTTCTGAAATTTATCCCTTTGGTTGAAGTTTACATCCCTGTGAATTTCATCCCAAATGGAGATCCTAAAATAAAGATGTAACGGTTTTAAATGTAGATTGATTTTAATTGTTTTTAAAGCAGCGAGCCCCTCTGTTAGCTATCTGAAATTTGATTGTTTTATCTGTTAGGAGGTACAACTCTAAAATGGATAGAGGAAAATGAAGAAATTATAGATGGATGTGTGTTTCCTTTTGAGTCCAGTGGAAATGAAAAGGGGATTCAGTCCTGTGTTTTGATTCCCAATCATGTTCATTTCCAAATCAAACTTTTTCATTTGGACTTTCATTCATTCTGAATGCACTTATACGAAACCAGCTCAGCTGTCTAATCCCTCTGGTTTTGCTGTACAAGGGGAAAATATTCTATAGTTTTCCAGGTTTTCATAGAGGAAACACTAGAGAAAACAATTTCTTTCATATCTAGGCATCCCTTTTATGTTAAAGAAGTGGGCCAGAATGGGACAGCATGATTTGTTTATTTGCTTTATTTATAACCCACTTTTCTTGCTGAGACTCACGAAAGATTACAAAATATAAAAGTGATGCAATCAGACAGCACAAGATGTTCAGTAAACAGTACAGCAGGGCTAGGATTTTAAATCAGAAAAAATGCAAACAAAAATGTAATAAACAATGTAGAAAATGGATTATAAAGGTGGAAAATAGAGTAAAAGCAAAACGACACATATAATAGACAGTGTACTAGGCTACAATCCAATCTTCATATATTGTCATCATGAGCTGCTCATTATACTACAGTTCTAATCCCTTTTTTAAAAATACACCCTCTTGAACATTTCTGTTTTGCACATTCTGCAGAATGAGAAGTGTGGGAGCCTTTCTGCAGGTCATTCTACCAGGCAGAAACTACAAAAGAATGCCTGAGTATGGGTCCCTGCTGATCTTACCCATTTGCTGGAGGGGGGGGGCTTCAGAAGGTGCATAGTTGGAGAGCCAGTCCTGCAGATACATGAGTCCAAGTAATGACACAGGAAAATCTGCATACCAATGCAAGAGCATTGAAAACAAAATAGATGGCAAGCTGTCGTGGGACTTAATAGGTAGCCAATGCAGAAACCAGGATTGGAGGCAATGCAATGAAAACAGGTATTCTGAGACAAGGGGGAACCAGGTCAAGTGCTGAGAAAATGCTGAGCGAATGTCAGATGCAGAATGGACCCAGGTCCAACGGTCCCTCTAAGCTGTGGAGTCTTGTGAGCAAAAATTCTACTTTGTGAGCTACTGGCACTAAAGTTGTGAGCGAGCAATATGGCCAATGCATAAATGAGTTTGCTCTGGGCCATCCTCCCTGAGCTAAGACAAAAATATGTGAGTCGGAGGCTAAAAAACTGTGAGCTAGCTCACACTAACTCAGCTTAGAGGGAACACTGCCCAGGTCTACTCAAAAGTCCCATTTTATACATGAGTCCTATTGAACACATGAAGCTGCCATATTGAATCAGACCACTAGTCTATCAAGTTCAGTTCCGTTTACTCAGACTGGCAGCAGCTCTCCAGGCTCTCAGGTCCTCCAGGTTCTTTACATTACCTCCTACCTGATCCAAAGAAGATAATCTACCACTCAGCTACAGCCCTCCCCAAAGTGTTCTCAAGATTTCAGCCGAACACATTTCGTATCCCCAAACTTGGTTTCTTTAAAGCTCACCCTTCCTCAGAAATGGTATCCCCTATTAGCCCCATTTTTTCTTTCAACCGGGCTTGGTACACAGTCACAGCTGCAGCATTTAGATACATCTGAAGGGAACAGAATGGTTAGTATTATACTGGAACATCAGTTGCCAAAGGAATAGAAAGACTTTGATTTTCATATTGAATACATGTCTCATTTGCTAAAATATTCCCATTTACAAATATTGGATTTGGTCAGTTCCTATGGCTCTTTTCTTCCCGTCTCTTTTTATAGAAGCCTTCTGCAGGTTGTGGGGTAACAGGAGACTTTGTGGAGCTGTTGGGAGGAAATGGTTTAGATCCCTCTAGAATGTTCCCTGTAGCTGATCTGTGCCACTCCTTCCATGGCCCTGGTGAGTTCTTACTTTAATGTCTTCTGTTCAAGTGTACACACACACACACACACACACACAATTGCAAAATCTGATTGCAAAACATGCCAGTCCTAAGCATTCGAGTTTTTGCCTTCTTTAGGGGCATAACTTCATGCCCTGTGATGCCGTTGTGGCATAGCTGTCTCTTTATTCGGAAAATTTATTACTCACTTGACGATAATAATAATTACCAAAGTGAGGAAAAACACAAAACATAATACCTACTGGCTCCATTCTAAACAATGTTTTGTTATGATTACTCATGTGTTAGTGAAAGATATTATGTTAATGGCTGGGTTTTGGGTTATTACTTTTCATGACTGAGACCTTGCACTAAGAAAAATAAATTCTGCAACCTTTGGTCTAAATTAGTCCTGATTCCAACATGCTCATTTGCTGGCAATACAATAAGCTGATTTGGACCTACAGTATAGCATTTGTTTTGGTTCACATGAAATGTTTTTCACAGAAGTTCAGGCTCAATCATACAGTTATAATTAGTGTGTGAGCATCAGCAATACCACAGCTATCATGTGAAGATGGCAGTTACAGATCCCATAGTATGCAAAGCCCCACTTGGGAATATGAGCATATTTGACTGTACATTATCAAGTGGTCTACACTGCCAAAGAACAGCTATGATTTTGAGATGCCAAAGATGTGTGGATTCCACATAAACGTTTTCACCAAGGAAATAATTCACCAAGGAAATTATTCAAATAATAACATTGTAGGCCGCGATCACACAAATAATCCACTTTTAATCCACTTTCAATGCACTTTCCAACTGGATTTTACAGTGTGAACTGGCAAAATTAAATTCGAAAGTGCATTGAAAGTGGATTATTTAGTGTGTCTGACCGCAGCCTAGGATTTGTAAAGTTAGCCCGTGAAAATCTGGCCATTTGTAAATAACAATGAATTTGTCTACAGTTATTCAGTCTGTAGTAAACTGAATACATGTAAACTAAAGATATAAATTTAAAAAGTCTCACCAGTTCGTTAACCTTACTGTCTGTGTACATACAGATTGGCCCCAATCTAGACATAGTTGCACATAACTGCTTACTACAGATTGTGAACCTGTGAAAACATGTTTTCCTTCCCACTCACATAGTGAAATGGTGTAGGGCTGTCATGAAGATTCCACAGGTTTTTTTTACTTTTCGTTCAAAACTATTGTTTTCAGGGAAGGCTTAGACATGCCTTAGACAATCCTTAATTGAGAAAATGGTTCTCTTCACATCATTTTTCTGCCAACTGCTTCTGTTATCTGCTGCTGCTTTGGGATTCTGTTTTGTCATTTGTTTTGTTTTGTTTTATTTATTTATTTATCATTACACATATCTTGCCCTCCCCGTGGACGGGCTCAGGACAGCTTACAAATAAGGGCAGCACGTGCCAATCAAACAATAAAATCACACACAAAAACAACTATTGTTTTCCCCTTCATTGTATGATTCCAGCCAATCAGGGATCACATAGACAGCAATACTAATCAGGTTTTATTTTATTCCGTAGGGCTTACTCCCAGGAAAGTGTTCTTAGAATTCCAGCCAGAATTATGTTGTATAGCCAATTTTATTTGGCTGTTGCAAACACCTCTGAGGACAAAAAAAGCTGATTCTGAGGGATAACAGTATTCTCACACAGGTGATCTTAGCCAATCATGGATCACATTGTTAACAGGATAATGTCATGATGCCCATTGGCTACGTGCTGATATTGGCGAATGTAAATGAAAGTCATACAAAATCTGGGCAATACTTTCTGAATACTTAAAACATTTAATTCCTTTACAACACAATGAGTGAAAAATTAGGAAAGGGGGAGAAACACATTTCAACAATGATAACATTATTAAAATCCTTCTGAGTCACTTCTAGCATATTGCAGCATAGTATGAATGAGGGCTGCATTGAGTGCATCATTTCCAACTGTGCTTTGCAATGCAAATGTCAATTCAAATGCATATCCACTTTCAGTTGTTAATCCACGCAGAAGCTACTCTTATCAACCGATCACCTTTGCTGGATTTGGGAAGGTAGATTAGAAAGACATTTTATATACACAATTTTTGAGAACAGGTGTACACATATTGGGAGGGAAGGCAGCATGTTATAGCCCAGTCTTCTCATATGTCGGAAGCTAAGCAGGATCAGTACTTGGAAGGGAGACCACCAAGGAAGGCTCTGCAGAAGAAGACAATGGCACTTGCCTTGCTTCTCACTTGCCTTTGAGGCTGTCATAAATCAGTTGCTTGCAACTTGACAGCACTTACGGCTGTATACACATATGGCATGGTAAAGCTTGACTGTGCTCATTAGGATGCTTTCAGACCCATAGACATATATTTTTTAATATTTAAAATGACCAGCTTTTATCATTTCCAAACATAATGAGAAACTTTTTTTTGCTTGATTAGCTCAAATGAAGATCAGCTGTGACAACACTGTGCTACGAATGATCTCTAGTGGCAAGCATATCAATCGTGTAACGTTTGAGTATCATCAGCTTGAGCAACATGAACTGGCAAACAGGGAAGAAAACAGCCTTGAAGAATTCTGTTTCTCCAGTGTAAGAGAAGCCAGACAAGTCACTCTTGCTTGTTATTTACTGTTAATGTTGACTTTATGAAACCTTTCTAATGTATAAACACCTATCTTTTCATACAAAGCTGTTATTTCCATGATCAAACAGTGTTAATCTTAGACATTTACAATATATTGTCCCCCCTTGTCTTTAAGTGTATTTAGTATACTCAATAAATACAAATCCATGTGGATTTTGAAAGCAAGACTTATACACATGTATATCCACTGATTCCAAAATGCAGTGCAAAAAAGCAAGCATGCATGTGCACCCCAAATCAGGCCACATGTTTTATTTTTATTTTTGGTATTTTTTTGGTATTTTTCATATGTGCATGTGTGTGTGCGTGTGTGTGCACCTGGAAGTCATGGAGACCTCTCATGATTGACTGTGTGTACACCTGGAAGTCATGGCGACTTTTGATGACTGACCCCTCCTGAGGGTTTCGAGGATATTCAGAGGTGGCTGAATAAAGCCTGCCCCCACCTCCCAGCTGCTGGTATTCCAAGGAGGTCTCCCATCCAAGTACTTGCCAGAGTTGACCCTGCTTAGCTTCCGAAATCTGGGGCGCATGTTTCCAATGCAAGTATTATTTTATTTCAAATACTTGCGGCACTTTTTGTAACAATTTAGAATGCACATATAAAATTTGGAATGCTATAAAGTTTATTTAGCAACTTCCCCTCTTTTGCATCATTTGCAAATATTTAAAAAGATGCATATGGTAAAAGTACAATTCAATTTTATAAAAAAACCTCCATTGTTTTTTAATTTATTAATGCAAATGTATAGTTGTTTTTAATAACATTTATAGCATGAAAAGGTTTTCCTTCTACAGGTACAGATATGAATAAATACATCCAAGTACTGGCAAAAATCTATGTTTACAGTTGTATTTTTAAATGAATTCCATTAATTAGTGTGCTGACCTATTAGAAAAATCATTGTGGATATATTTTACTTTAAAAAAAACTCTAAAGATCATTTAAGTATTACTAAAACAGTACTTCAGCATCATTTCAAACAAGTTTTAGTTCTGTAAAATAAACGCTTATTTAAAATGTGATATTTGTTGGGCAAGAACTTACCTATAAAACTTTGCATGCACCCAGTATCTCAGTCATCCTGGGCTTTCAGACACGTGTACATAGCAGGAATCTATAGCCTTGGTAGATGCTCTGCTGAATGCTAATGTTGCACATGTCGATATTGCCCCATTTTGAAGAGATGCTGCACATGTACAGCTTCACAAGAGCAACTTCTGAACAGTGTCACCATCAAGACTAAACCAGTCTATTCACTTTGTGGATAAGCATTCAGAAGCCTACTTCAGAAGCCAGTGGCAACTTTGTGTTTTCATGTAATACTAAAAATGCCTTTGAACTGCTCGTGTGCTCTTTGTGTGCCCCTGTGAATGTTGTTAATTTGGGAGGGGAAAAAATATTTTACATTGAATTACAAACAAAGGAAATATAGAAAATATCTTTAATGAGAAAGCATATTCACCATACTTCATAGAAGAGCCACTAAAAAAAGGCTGACACACTGAGTCAGATCTAGTGTTGCCGGCTCTGGGTTGGGAAATTCCTGGAGATTTTGGGAATGAAGTAGGGTTGCCATGTGCCCTTCTCGCTCCAGCAGGAGGATTTAGGGGGGTGTCCTGGGGTGGGTGGGTGGGGACACCACCAAGCACAGCCACCTGCCCGGACACCCCTCTCTCTCCCCTCCTGCCAGATTTAAAGGGCCCTCCAGCTGATCATCAGGCTACCTCCAGCTGGCCGGGGGTGGATTGGAGCCTCCAAAAGCAAGGGTACCCCTGCCCAGACCTGAAGGCTGGCAACCCCAGAGTGAATTCTGGAGAGGGTGGGGTTTGGGGAGGGGGAAGACCTCAGCAGGGTATAATGCCACAGAGCCCACCCTACAAAGCAGCCATTTGCTTCAAAGGAACTGATCTCTATGTCTGAAGATCAGTTGTAATTCCAGGAGATCTCTAGGCCCCACCTGGAGACTAGCAACCCTAGTTCGATCTTGCAGATCATTTCTGTGTGTACAAGGGGAGTGAAGACTAAACTAGACATTATGATGCCAATGCCATTTTAAAGAAGAATTTGGCATTTAAAAAATGTGGCATGGTGGGACAAGGTGGTCTTGTGTGCCCCCCCCCCCGCTGCCTCTCCAAGAACTAAAACAGACCCCACCCTAATCAGAACTGCGGGCTCTGTAACATTGAGCTTGGCCCTGATTTTTGCTGTTTGCATCCTGCAGCAGACCTCCATCCCCCCTCCCCCAATGTTCATGCAAGTCCCCTTTTCCCCAGGACCAGCATTTTAGGGGGCATTCTGGGCTGCAGTAGGAGAGGTAAGTGGAGAAGTCATGTGTTACTTATGGGAATCCTTCCATCAGCTGAGATTTTTGGCAAGATTCAAACCACTGTCATAGGCTTTGTCTCCTCCCTACCCACAGTACCAGTCCATGGGACATGTATACTTGCATAGCTCCTCTCTGCCATATGTAGAGCAAAGAATCTAAGAGCCAGGGTTGTGTACTGTAGAGGCTAAAACTAGTAAGTTGGGTGAGAAGAAGGATTTATCAAACACTGTCTACACACTTCAAGCCTCTCTCTGTAGGCTTTATTTAAACACAACACTAGCAAGGCCAAGGCGTTTACCTGAGGGGTGTCAGCCAAGTTTAAACAAGACACAGCCAGCACAAAGTTAAATAGGGTAAATCACAACCCCTCCTATCAATTGTGTATGTAAATGCCATCACATTGCAGCTAAGGTGTGGCAACACCAGCAAGAGGCCTTCAAGCGAAGTGAGAAGCAGAGGTTGTTTGCCATTGCCTTCATCTGCAGAGCTTGGTGGTCTCCCAAGTACCATCCAAGCTTAGCTTCCAAGATCTGATGAGATTAGGGTGTACCATGCTGCCTTCCTTCCGTTACCTATCAATTAACCCTAGGGGTTAATCTTGGTGATACTGGGATTCCTACTCTCTAGAGACCACCCTCAGAATGTGGAATCTCACCTTTGCCACAACACCATATTCAGATGGCAACAGATGATACTGGGTCATGATGAATATATTGTTGTCCATTAGACTGCCAGTTTATTTTCAATAACCAGGAAACACTTGAGCCATCAATCCTTCTGGAGAAGTAATGAAGACATTAGTTGACTACTCCTTTTTACTGGAATACTGCCAAGGTTTTGTTGAAGGCCATGGTCCTGGCTGTGCATACCAGGTCCTGATAATGCTCTCTTATTTTTGTAGGGGAACCATAGGCTGGTCCAGCAATCTGTGGAAACAAGGACTGCAGACCTTTTTCACACCCCTCTTCCCCAAAAAATCCTTTCCAAACCTAGAAAATTTTATTATTAAGGTTATGGGACCCATGTGGATTAGAAGGCATATGCAGGGCTTTTTTTTTTTGTAGAAAAAGCCCAGCAGGAACTCATCAGCATAACAGGCCACACCCAACAGCAGAAACACATTAGCATATTAGGCCACACACCCCAACAGTACAGCTCATTAACATATTAGGCCACACCACATGCCTTCCCTTGGAAGGATCTGTCCTGCGAGGAGTCCAGGCAAGCCAGCCCTTGGACAGATCCTTCCAGGGGCCCCCCTGGCCCCCCTGCCTTGGAGTTGTGGGGGCAGGTGTCACTCTTCAGGCCTTCCCTCTGTAGCCACGCACACAGAGGTTTTGGCTGTAGTGGGTGTGGCCAACTCTGAAGCCAGCCAGAACTCCGTTCCTGTGCGTTCCTGCCCAAAAATAGCCCTGGATATGGCTCAGGAGGTAGCAGTGGAATGGAGAAAGGATATGAATCTCACATCTTTGGCTCTTCCATCAGCAGAACTTTCCCAGGATCAGAAATGGCTGGTGGGAGGACAGGAACATGGACATTTCTGATTGCAAAGCACAGCATCCCCCATGGTTACTTTTTTGCAGCTCAGTTGTACATCTAGCAAGCCAAACACAGCCTCTTAGAATCTAATATGGGGTTGGATCCAGCAGATATGTAGTTGAACTGCAAAAAGTAGTCTGGGAGAGTGATACGAACTGAGATAAAACATGTCTATGGGTCTGCTTAGTTCTTTGTCTTTTGGAAGCATGGTGGTCGTAGAAAGTGCCATCAAGTCGCAGCCAGCCTATGGCAACCCTGTAGAGTTTTCAGGGCAATAGATGAACAGAGGTGGCTGCCACTGCCTGCCTCTGTGCAGCAACTCTGCACTCCCTTGGTGGTCTCCCATCCAAGTACTAACCAGGACCAAGATCTAATGAGAATGAGTTAGCTTGGACTATCAGTGTCCGGGTATAATTCCCTAAATCCTGTTAGCTATTGGCATTATTATTATTATTATTATTATTATTATAAATATTTATATCCTGCCTTTCCTCATGTCCTTTCCTCATGACTTACAAATCACAAATTAAGAGCACACCAATATCTAAGAGGACAGGTAGGTTTCTAATAAATCTATCCACATAGCTGAGAGCCAGCATGGTGTAGTGGTTAAGAGTGACAGCCTGTAATCTGGCTTCCATGTGAAGCCACCTAGGTGACCTTGGGTCAGTCACAGTTCTTTCAGAGCTCTCTCAGCCCCAAAAATGTCTAGCTCACCACCTAGTGGTGCATAATGCTAAAAGAGCTAGAACTTAAGGCAGCCAGACAATCTTAGGATCTCCTGACTACAGTACACACAATGCCATACAATAATAATTATTATTATCCACATAGCTGGTTCCACTTGGAGATCACTATCAAGAGGTAAATTCGAGATAGACACTCCATGGCATAGAAGCCTGTTAGGATCACCTATTAAATATCAGAATCAATAGGGGACAAGAAATAGGGATACTTCAAAAATCTCATCTGAAATGTCAAAATATTTGTTGCATGGTCTTATCAATGAAATAGACCTTATGCATGAAAATGGCTCCATTATTCTGTTTTGAACCTGGTACAGAACACTGTGCATATCTTGTTTGGTGCAACCTTTATCAAAGGCTCCTAAGTAAGCTCAAAAATCATGGGATAAAAGGACAAGTCTTTTTAG